GTTTCCTTAATGGGCTGGACATCAATGTTGGTTCAAACTCCGACGTTCAGTCCTGCCTCCGCCCAGCCAGGATGCTCCATTCTCCTACCTACTTCGCTTGGTAGTCACTTCGTGACTACGCTCCGTAGGAGCCTCTGGCAACTAATGTGGGGTATGACGTCACCAACCCTTCGTCCTAGAGATTGGCTAGGCCTGAAACGTTATGAAATATTCATACAAAATAATATATTTTATTACTGGTTTCATAAACCTTGCCCCAAATTCGAAAACAAAAGGAACTTTCAAATCACTGCGCACTGTTCGTCGGGGACTGCACTACCGCTACCGAGCGCTCCCGGACGTGCTCCACCTCCATATTATGAACGGTCAGACTGGACAAAAATAAGGAAAGGCCAAGGGCACAAAAGGGACTTGGAGGGCCACAGAGGGATTCAAAAGGACTCGAAGGGATTCGAAGAGATTTTGAGGGATCTTGAGGGAGTTGTAGTGATTTATCACTTGTGAGGGGGATGTGCAGAGGGATTTGGTCGAAAAATCCCTCTCGATGTCCCTCTCGCCAGGGATTTACTCTCTGGCTATCCCTTTCGACAGGGATTTACTCTCTGGCTATCCCTTTCGACAGGGATTTACTCTCTGGCTATCCCTTTCGACAGGGATTTATCCCTCTTCCAGTCCCTCTGGCTGTCCCTCCGATGAGAAGGCCCAAAAATTTATCCCAAGTCGGTCCTTTGCTCTAGTATGCCACCTGATTCAAGTCTCCCAGTCGCGATTCCTCAAAGTCCCTCCAAATCCCTCCCCAAATCCCTCTAAATCCCCCTGAATCCCTCTAAATCCCTTCGAATCTCTCTTGAGAGGGAAAAATCCCCACAATTCCCTGTCTTGAGGGATTAATCCCTCCAAATCCCTCGCTCCTGGTATTTTTGTCCAAGGATAAGCACCATATCATTTCTTCTGTGATATTGCTGAGAAAGAGCAATTGAACCTGGGGTTTATCATCTGAGGCTGGAATCTGGTTTGGTTTTTTTGGCGACGCTCTATTAGGACGCCAGCCCGAGAGTTTCTCTTATTATTTAGCAACTGGGCAAAGTATATGAAACCAGTAATAAAACGACTGCAAAATATTCTTTTCGAGATAAGATGGATTCTTTTATTTAACAGTTGAAACTCGCACGATTCAGCTAAATAAAACCGACTAAGGTCGGTGCGGTAAATGGTACATTCCTGACTTAAAGAACACGATACCGAATCATACCTGCACATTTGTAGAATAGTTGTATTTTCTAATATGCCGATCCATATAGCATTGGTCGTTCATGAAGTGGCACACATGTACCATCCACCCCGCACCAGCCATTTCTCCATTCTGGACAGCTTTTGGATTCTGCCCATCCTCTCAATGCTTCTTTCTCTTCCTCAGAGGGTAGAAATATTGCTTTCTTTCGAAAACTCGAGTCGTATATTGCTGTGAGAACTCGTTGTGTGATAAGGTGAATAGTCCCATGGCCACAACCAGCCCAGTTCCCAATTTTCGTGAGAGATACACCATTACCACAATGTCCCAAGTGGTAAAGAGTGATAGCAACCTGCTCTTCAACAGAGATTTGTCCGTTCGTGGATTGATTGTAAAAGACCGGATGGTCTTGCAAGATGTTTGCCAAAAGGTTGAATGTCTCTAGTGTGACACGAATGAACTTCCAAAAAAGGTCTTGAACCCTTTTTCTATAGACATGTAGTGTGTACCATAGGCCCCCTTCTTCGGGTTTGGGTATCGTGCGGATGCGCCCAGTCAGATAGACTACTCTCTGCCCACTGTAGGAGTTGTATGGCATCCTCTAATGCTTCATCACCGATATAAATGATAACAGGTAATAGACGTCTAAAGGACTTCTTGCTTGGCCCCAATAATACGCCTTCTTCAATGCTATCCAGTGTCTCGAAGTCACTCATCAGCCCTCGCACGACTTGGTGAGCAACTCTTTTGTGTTCTGAAAATTTAGGCGTTTTTGATTTGAGAGGACGGGTACAAGTTTTATTTATTTGGGCGACTAGGCATACAGGTCATAATCAAGTCGAGAGGTAAGTTGATAATCGGAGCGGTCAGAATCGACAACGGCCGCGCCAGAGTCCGACAGTGCAGGTCTGACTCCCCCCATTGACTGAGCTTGACTCGTTCCTTTACTAACGTTCATTGTTTTCAAGTCCTAATATGGCGGAAAGTGTCGAGTCGTCTCAAATATGGTGGCGTGAAGGCCTAACCGCGCGCTAGCCAGAATCAATCCAAGAAATGAGTCCAAACATGTTCCTTCTAAATCAGTAGATTTTTATTAATTTTACAAAATTTTGAGGGAACGAGTTGCCAGGTTGGTTACGTCATACCGTTTGTAGACCGTTTACAGGCGCGGGTTGCGAACCAGTCAAAAAGGTCATATTACTCTCCATTTTAATTCTTTCGACTGAAAATATAGAGATCCTCCAAAAATACAGCTGGTCACCTTCCGTTGTCTGTCCCGCTCATAAGATATCATAGTGTTTGGTAGGGTATCGCTGAGAGTATGCGCCGATAAAGAGCCAGGCCTTGAACGAATCGTTCTGGCCGACCAACGAAGATAAGTTGGTGAGACTGCAAGTCTAAACAAGGGGGTAAAGAATTATGAATATTAATCTCAGTGTGACTCTGTTCACGTCCGGAATATCGTGGGACGAAACAGAAGTCATGCTAAATACAATACAAGTCCCAAGTCCTAGTGAGTAGAATGCGAGGACTGGACAGGGACTGCTCGAGTGCTCAAGAAAAGAAAGCGAGAAAGATGAAGTCGAAAGCAGAAGAGGCAATCTACAGCTCCATGCTCATCCCCAGGTGCCTGTGAGACAGAGAGGGATTAGAAGGATTATTAAGACTAAAGTAAACTTTACCTAGAATCGATTGATTTGGGCCAGATACAAGTTAGTTACAATCCACCCGCTTTGTATCCTTTGAGCCAAATGTATGGACATTTTTCTGTCGGATATTCCCCAGGATGTCGGGAACGAGCATCTCGTTCATCCTCGCTGTTCATATGCTCTCCATCCGGATACTTGAAATGATTCTTGTACATTTGAGCTACATTCTTGGGGCGGAAGAGTGCTGGAAAGAGTATCAGAAATCCGATCGAATAGATTAGATCAGGAACTCGAACATACGATGGCTGAAAAATGCTTTCCATGTTTCTACTTTAGGATCTACTACAGCCTTGGATGCCGCCTCGAACAATGTGTTCAGTTCGGTTTTGTCGGTTTGAGTTGCTACGAATGCTGCACTGGTAGTCTCCAAATTCGTTAAATCAATACCGAGTTTAGACGCAAGGGGTTTGTGGTTCCAGAAGTGTTCTCGCACTCCAGTGATCATATAACCAAAGTGTTTGTCTTCGACGTCCTCTTTAAACCGCTTGGTAAGTAACAGTTCTAAGACTACCAAGTCTTCCTCTCCCAAATTGATAGGAGATGTCGACGAAGTCGAAGAGGGTGACTTCTTCATTCCAGTGCTGGTTGGTGCCTCCTGTGATGGTTGTGGCGAGACAGGCGGGTCAGAAACCACCCTTCCACTTGCCATGACAACGTCCTGGACTAGGGGTAGGGGTTCAGATTTCATTGACTTGTGCGGGTGTTGACCCTCGCTGACAGAGTGTTTGCGTTTCCTTAATGGGCTGGACATCAATGTTGGTTCAAACTCCGACGTTCAGTCCTGCCTCCGCCCAGCCAGGATGCTCGACCATGGTGGAATTCGTCAACGTCAAGTATTTCCGAACGTGTGCTAACAATGGTACGACAGGGCCAGATATCAAAAAGAATTATTCGCCTGATACCCGAATTCATCCATCATTGTTATCTGTATCGGGGGTTCTGAGTTCGTCAGCGAATCTTTTGATGTCAACATGGCTCTGGATGTATAGAAGAGTCGGTTCTAATCAATTGCATTATGAACTTATACGGCAAAAGATTTACTCATCCTAAACTCCACGGTAGACAATACCTATCAACAATTGATGGAACACAGGACGATAGTCCAGTCTCAAATCTATCCGAGGTATACCATGGTCATACCGACCAGGCAGACTCCAACTAAAGCTGGTATGACAGCCGCGTTGAAGGTGGAGAGTTCACCACCCAAACGGGATTGGATGTATGTAAGTTAGGAGGGCCTTCTCTATCTGTAAAAGGGCGTAGGGGACCACAGGTACCGGATCGCTGGGTTTCAAACCAATCAAAAAGGTCATATTACTGTCCTTTTGAGACTTTCGACCGAAAATGTAGAGGCCCTCCAAAAATATACAGCTGATCATCTCCCATTATCTCATGTCATATGACAGTCGGTCAGGAACTGATGAAAGCGTTGATGGTGCCAGCATATTGAACTGTTATTGGTAAATGCCTATCTGAACTACAAAAGGGGGGGCTAACATGAGAGTACAGCTTGGGCGACTATAAGCTACCTGTGAGACAAAGGAAGAATTAGAAAAGGTCATTTAGGATTCAGCAAACTTTGCCTTGATTCAGTCAATTTAGGCCATAGTTGAGCAGACACAAGTCACAATCCGCCCTTTTAGCCCCTTCCCCCTTCCTTTTCTTGGTCTTCTTTCTTCTCCTTTTTGAGCCAAAGATACGGATGTTTTTCTGTAGGAAATGCACCAGGATATCGAGAGCGGGCCTCTCCCTCATCATCCGAGTTCATAGACGTTCCATTTGGATACCTGAGATATTCCTTGTAGCCTCCTAAAATGCACAAACACCTTCTCCAGTCCTCATTATCATCGGGTCCGATCACTTTATACGTCTCGTTCGTGACACCTCGGCAGACAATGTCATATGACGTATAGCCTTTCCTCCGGTTAGCGCCAAATTGATTCATCTTAACCCCATTCCGTGAGCCCTGGAACACCATCACGATGCGAATGAGCGGGTGTTTGAAGTCTGCCAACTCATCTGAGGAAAGGAACTTGATAGACACCGGATCCATCTTGCTGAAGTATTCATCACATTTTGAATCGCTGGCGGTGTCATTCTTAACTTGTATCAAA